CCTTCGGATTCGGCAGCTTCTTACTTCGTAGTCGGTCGTCGGCCCTTCCTTGCCGTCGCCGCCGCCGTCGTGTCGCCCACCGCCCGCATTTGGCCATCGTGACGCCCTACCCGACGCCCTACGCCACAGGCGCGCTGGGGCTGGGTGATGGGCCAGAGGCAGGACTCACTGGACTCTCCTCTCTCAGGGTCTGGCGCTCCTCCTCCTCCTCCTCCCCCTCCTCCTCCTCCTCCTCCTCCTCCTCCTCCTCCTCCTCGTCCAGGAGGGATATTCGAAAATAGTAGGAGAATAGTCCGGGGGCGATCTCTTGACCATGTCATTTGAGCAGTTCTGGTGTATTTTTCGAGTCTACTCTTAAGTTTTCGCCCCAAATCCCCCTGCAGGGGGACAGGCCCGACCCAGCGTTAAGCTTATCCATGTCCCCACGGGGCCATGGTAATGCAGCCCCGCCATCCCGCCCCCCCCAGTTGGGGATGCTTTCCGCGAAGCCCGAAGGGAGCAGCGCACGCACACCCATCCACGCACCCACATCCGCATCCACACACGCACACACACACACCCACACCCACATCCAAACGAACAGGAGGGCGAGGCAAGGACAGCGCGGGGAGCGGGTGAAGGGCCTGCGCCAGGGCGAGAAAGATAATGACGCAGAGAAGACAATAAGGGCGCCTCACTAATCGCGAGGACGACAGTGAAGGTTATTTCCAGATTAGCCGAAAGGATTTTCATGTGGGGTCTTTCCGTCGGAATAATTTTTTTCACAGGGATGGTGGGGGGCGGGTCGGCATGGTGTAGGCATGGTTCCTGGTTGGACGCCGGTCGCCCAGGGGGGTGTACATTAATAAGGATCAGTGATGAACCCTTCCCCGAAGGGGAAAAAGGGAGTTGCAAGAGGAAACTCCCTAATACACTCACGCCCTAAAGGGCTGATGGGATTGTTCGCAGCTTTGTGCCAGCTTCGGGTCCCGGGACCGTCCAAAGCCGACACAGGATGAAACGCTAGCCTTGGGAAGGGTCGGAACTCGAAGCGTAACACGCTGCATGCGCTTCCGGGGGTGTGCGTCGGGGAGGGGTACATTTAATATGCACTCCTTCGGGTGACCAGGAGAGGGAGGGCAGATGGGCGCAGCTGTCGGTTTGAGATCGGCGTCCGGTCGCGCTGGATATAGTCTGATATAACTCCATGTAAAAGAAGATGAGGTAGTTCATGTGATGCTTATTGTGGTACTCTGTGTGTTCTAGTATGGAATAGAATGTGATGTAATCGTTTTTGTCATAACATAACATCAAACTTCGTATATACTGGCATATTTTGATGTAGTATGATTCAATATACCATATGCCATAATCAAATACCAGGAAAATATATCATCTCGTATAATACATATTACAATGACGTATCACATATTAAAATATAGTGTGCGGCGATATAACATGATCAGAGCGCGGGGGCCGAGTGGTCATTCATTGTCCCTGGGCGCGTGGCTGAAGTGAGGGGATGCGGTGCGGATTGTTCTTGTTGTCGCTGTTGTTGTTGCTTTTGAGACTTCACCACCGAAGAATGATTATTGTTGATCCCCTTCCTCCAGTAACATATGCGTTTTTAAATTGAAGTGCCTTTCCCGGGGTTCGCACCCGGTTTTTGTTAAGGGAAGTTCTTCTTGCTCAAACTGTGCACCTGCTCCCCGGTTTCCAACAACAATGGCTTCCGCTTGATAATTCCTTGCGATTTATTGCAGAATCGCGCTCTCGCAAGGGACTTCCTTACAATTTATTCACGAATCGCGCTCTCGCCTGGTACTTCCTTTCATTCTATTCAGGCGCCACGCCCTCGCCATTCAGGAATCGCGCTCTCGCTTGGGACTTCTCCATCATTTACTTAGGATCCGCGCTTTCGCCTGATAGTTCTGGGCGAATTATGCAGGATTCACGCGTTCGTGTAAGATACGTGTTTTTGAATTTAACTGTTCCTCCCGGGGCTCGCTGTGTGTTGACCGGGAAGGTTTACAACAATAGCGGCTCCTGCCTGATATTTCCTTGCAATAGACTGAAGAATGGCGCTCTCGCTAGGGAGTTCCTCGCAAGCTCTCGCCTGATGATTCTTTGCGATTTATTCAGGCGTCGCGCTTTCGACACCCAAGAATCGCGCCGTGGCTTGGGACTTCCTGACAATTGATTCAGGCGCCGCGCCCTCGACGCTCAGGAATCACGCTCTCGCTCTGGATCTCCTGGGGATTTCCTTGGGAATCGGCGCTGTCGCTCGAGGCTTCCCAGCGGTTCGTGCAGGACCCACAGTTCAGCAGCCCGCCTGCTCGACCTGGCCGCCAGGAGCCCGCGTGCCCGACCCGCCCGTCAGGGTCGAACCCGCCCCATCCGCCCGTCTGGTTCTGCAGCGTGTTTTCTGCTCTCCTGCTACTTTCTCCCGTGCTCCATCCTTGTCCCTCCCCTGTGTCCCTTCCTTCTATCCGTCCTCTCTTCCCCTGCTTCACGAGCTGCGCGGCATTCGCGTTGCAGGTAAGAGTGATATATACCCCCAGGCCGGTTCGATCGAAGACGAAGAGAGCGGGTCTCGAGGGTAGCACATAGGAGCGAACAGTCTTAAACTGATTCTTGTTGTTGTGCCAAATTATCAGATTCAGACCCGTTTGTGTGTAGATTGTCTCGCACGGAGACGCTCGCAGTGGGGAAACTCATGGACGAATCGATGACCATATGTGGATCTCCGCGTCGACAACATTTGCAAAAGGGGACCCCCAGGATCCGCGGTCCCGAGGGCACCCTGAACTTCCCTGGAGGATCCTCGGTTCCCCAGGCTTCTCGGGGCTCCTGGAAGCCCCTGGTTGGCCCAGGCAGCGGGCCTGAATCGGTCGGGAGGGCGGCCGAACGGTCCCCCGAGGGCCCCAAGAAGGAGTTGAGCTTGGCATCGCTCGGACGTGTGCATTTTTCCTTCGGCGAGGGCCATCGAGGAACATCCTTGACCATTTCGCGAAAAAACCACGCACGAAACCGAAAAAAACACAGGAGATGGACGTCCGAGCGATGGCCAGTGAGGAGGATGGGGAAGAATTCGTGGGGTAGGGTGAGGATGAGGAAGAGGAAGAGGAACCATGAGGGGACAATATTGAATAACATGATGGCAGCGGCGATGTCGGAAAAGGCAACCATGCATTATGGTGATGTTTTCGGGTTTGCCTTCCTGCCTTTCCACCTGCACGTCAACGTTCAACTTCAAGGACCAAGGTGCATGGCGCGAATCGCCAGGGCGTTTTTGTTTGTCTGTTTTCCTCCTCTCTCTCTTTCTTTTTTTGTCTTCCTCTTCCCCTCTCTCGCTCTCTCTCGCTCTCTCTCACTCTCCCTCTCCACATATGCATGTATGTCAGTCAATCAGTCTGTCAGTCAGTCAGTCTGTCTGTCTGTCTGTCTGTATGTATGTTTGTGTATATGTATGTAAATATGTATGTTTGTGTATGCATGTATGTATGTATGTACGTACGCATGTATGCATGCATGCATGCATACATGTATGTATGTATGCATGTATGTATGTATGCATGTATGTATGTATGTATGTATGTTTGTATGCATATATGTATGTATGTATACATGTGTATGTGTATACGTATATGTATGTGTCTATGTATATGTATATGTATATGTAACTGCTTTTGTATATGTGTATGTGTATGTATATGTATATGTATATGTATATGTATATGTACATGTCTATGTCTATGTCTATGTATATGTGTATATTTATAGTATATGCATATGTATATGTATGTGTACATGTGTATGTATATTTATATGTATACGTATTTGTAAATGTATATATACATATATATGCGTGTAAGTCTGTATATGTGTGTGTACGTATATGTATATGTATATGTATATGCATATGTATATGTATATGTATATGTATATGCATATGTATATGTATATGTATATGTATATGTATATGTATATGTATATGTATATGTATATGTATATGTATATGTATATGCATATGTATATGTGTATATATATACACATATATATATATATATATATATATATATATATCACCGGGGGTCCAGGCCCACAGGGGGCCCAGCCCCATTCCCCCATGGGAGGCCTGGGGGCCCCCTGGCGCTCCCAGACGGCCCCAGGACAGCACCGAGACCGGTGCACACCCAGGTCGCTGTTGTCAGTCTCTCTGCTGCTGCGTTTTCTTGACAGCTGTTGCTCAATGGAGAGTACGGAGCAGAAGCATGCGATCCCCCCAAACAGCGCTTGTACTTTCGTGTTCCTTCGTCTGTGCTTTACGGATTTGGGTCTGCCAGCCGCGCTTTCGGACGGCTGCTAGGTCTCTGACGGACGCACTCCGATGGGAATGCGTCGCAATCGATGACAAGCGTAGCGCCAATTTTCTGTAGCTACCGCCTTTCGCCTGCCTGATATGCTCGCATCCAGGTGAAAGGCTACATTCTACTACCATACCATCGGCAAAAACGGGCACTATCACGAAGACGACGGCTATTTGTGCGAAGTCGTTGACGTAGTCAATTCAAATCGGCAGTGCCATTACCACTGTCGCGACTCCTGGTGCATCTTGCTCCATCAGTACTGCGTCATGTGGCTACTCCTTCTCATGCCACTAATCTTGCTTCCAGCACCCATGAACTTACTGCTAGTCCTTATGGCTGCAGATGCCACCACTACAGCTATCACCACCCACTAGCAGAAGCAATCACTGCCACTCCGTAGCTACGTTGGCCCCAGGGTCTGCTGCTGGGTTCAGGCTGATCGCTTCTGGACCTCGGGGGCGGCCCAGAGGGGAGCGTCCAAGAGGGGTGGTGCAATTCATGGCCGGCGGCATGTGCGAGGCCCAGCGGGGGGGCCAGGGACGTAATGGAATGAAAAGAGGCGCCACGAAACCTGGGGAAATGTCATGGCCCACGCCATGATATCCACCCCCCCTGTCATCAGCCCCCTCTTTGCCGCCCCCGACGGACAAGACTCCTGCCCCTGCCATGCCGCATGATGCGGTTGGCTCCGCCATCTTCGGCGGTCTCCTGGGCCTCTCTCCAGATGCGTCACTCTGTGCGCGCTGGCGCGCGTCGGACGCCGGCTGGGGCGTCTGCCTCGACGAGCTGCGGGACGGCTGCATCGTGTACACGGCCGGGCCCGGCAGCGGCGAGAGCTTCGCGAGGGAGTTGTCGGCGCACGGGTGCGCCGTGCACGCCCTGGACGCCAAGGATCAGCATCACCCAAACATCCTGGTGCTGTGTGAGGCTGTCAAGAGGAGGAGGAGGAGGAGGAGGAGGAGGAGGAGGAGGAGGAGGAGGAGGAGGAGGAGGAGGGAGGAGGAGGAGGAGGAGGAGGAGGAGGAGGAGGAGGAGGAGGAGGAGGAGGAGGAGGAGGAGGAGGAGGAGGAGGAGGAGGGGCCGCGCCCTCGCGGACCGACGGAGTCGGGCTCTCCTCCATCGGCGGGGGGCGGCGGCAGGCGGCGGAAGCAGTTAACGAGGCCACCTCCGCCGGCGGAAGCGGCGGAGGGCCGGCGGAAGCCGGCGGAAGTACCCATCGGTCGTTGAGAGTGGGTATTTTTGGAGTCCCAGGTTCCAATCTGCTCCAAGCGCCTTCCTGCTTCAGTGATCGAGTGGCTTCACCTTTTTCCGTCCTCTTTGGAGGGCGGGCGGGCAGCCAATCCGCTTTCAACGCCTTCCCACTTCCTGTTTCTGCCTGCTTCTTCCGACCGATGGGTAAAACTTGGGATCTCAGAAGATGGGGCACGGCTTTTCGGTTCAGGGTATCCAGAGCCCGCCCTGCGTGCGTCCGCGCCCCGAGGGCGACGCGCTCGCGCCGAGCCTTGCGGTGCCTGCTCGGTGGCGGGCGCTTGCTGGCCGTGCCGCTCGGGAAGCGAGATGCTGCGAGGTGGTCGTATCGTATGCTCGGGTCGGACGCGCGCCTCAAGGGCGGACACATGGTACTGGCATGTCCTTGTGCGCCCCACCGGAGGGCGACGCGGTGAGGCGCCCTGGCATTCAGGGGAACGAAGAATTACATGAACGTAACAACTCGGAGGTCTGTGCGGACTTCTCGCATCGGCGCTGGGGCCCCCTGGCGGCGCCTCCAGCGCCGCCCCTGGCGCGCTCCGCGCGCCTAGGGAAGGGGGTCCGGCGCCGATCCGAGAAAGCCGCGTGGGCCTCCGAGTTTTTTTCCTGTCCATGTCGCTCCTCGTGCCCCTGGCATTAAGTCGGGCGTGTCCCTCTGCATGGAGGAATATTCGAAAAGATGCAAGACAACCCCGGGGGACAATGTTTGGACTATTTCTTGACTATGTCAGGCCATTGTTTGAGTCTTCCTGATCTGTCTCGTCCAAAATCCGCCTGCAGGGGGACAGGCCTCACCCAACCCCGGCGTCAACCTGACCCTGCACGGGCGCCGGCTCGCGGACCGCCTCAGCGGGCCCCACGCGTGCCGCAGCCCGTGGCTCTGGCCCGGGGCGGGCGCGCGCCCGCCGTCGGGGAGGGCGCCACTCGACGAGGCGTAGGAGGGACCTTGCTCGGGGGCGGAAAAAGGGGGAGGGGGATGACTAGGGGGGGGTGGATATCATGGCGGGGGCCATGATATTTCCCCAGCTCTCATGGCGCCTCCTCTTGTTTCATTACGTCCCTGGCCCCCTCGCTGGGCCGCGCACATGCCGCCGGTCATGGTTTGCACCCCCCCCTCTTGGACACCCCCCTCTTGGCCGCTCCCGACTTGCGCCGGAGGGACCTCCTAGTGCGGGCGCAGATGGGTCCACAGATGGCTGGAAACGGAGCAGTCGCAGCTGCTTGCTCGCCCGGGTTTGGCCCCCCCGCGGCCCCCCAAAAGTCGCGCACCAAAGGTCACTCTTGTTCAGATGCAGCTCTTGGGAGGTCAAGTTCTGATTTTGCCCTGGTCCGAAATCCAGCTTGATCCCGCTTAATCCCGCTTAATCTGGTATAATCCCGCTTAATCCCGCTTAATCCGGCTTAACCCGAGGCCCTTTCCGGCGTAACAGCCCCCCAATGGTTTAATTTTTTTTTTTTTTTTTTTTTTTTTTTTTTAATTTTTCCGACGAAAGCCTCCCAGTAGTTGCCTCCCATCTCGTACCCAGGGTCGCTCTTGCGTATGGCCGAACCAGAGCCGCAGGCCCGCACCGGGTCCCGGCCAGGCCCATGCCCGTGTCCAGGATCGGTGCGAGTGCGCCGCTCGCCAGGCCAGGAGGGCGTGCACACCCAGAGCTCCGACGTGCTTATTATATATAAATAAATAAATAAATATATATATATATATATAAATAAAAAATTATATATGATTGCAGCGATTCCTCGACGCGCGTGGGCTCTGGCTTCAAGCTCGCACTCCCGGGCGCCTCCGCGCGTCCGTCTCTCCCTCGCCTCCTCCCGTGGATGCTCGCCTCGCTCCTGGCGGCGGCGGCGTCCTCTTGCGGCCGGCGGGCGCGAGCTCCCCTTTCGGCCGGGGCCGAGGCCCCCCCTGGCGGCCTGGCAGCGGGGCCTTTGGTGCAGACCGTCAACGTGCACCTGACCCTTTACGGGGCCGGCGGCTCGCTGGCCAGCGCGGCCCCTGGCGCGGGCCTGGCGACCCGCGCGACGTGGGCACGCAGATGGAGCCCGAGGAGCTGGCGCCCCGCCCGCCTCCAGCCGCTCCGCCCCGCGCGCCCCGGGCGGTGCGCGCCGAGGCCTGGGCCTACGCGGCCTGGGCGCTCCCGGCGGCCTCGGACCTCGTGGGGGTCCACTGCGGCGTTCGGCAGGCCTGGGACGCCATCGCCGGGCGGATCGGCGGCTACCGCTACTTCCACGGCGACCGCTTCCGCCGCTTCGCCTCGGAGGACGAGGCGTTCGCGGGATACCTCGCCGAGGCCGCTCGCCACGGCGCGCCGGTGCCGCCGCCCCCTCACCGCTGGTGAGGATGGCAGCCGAGGAGGACGTCTTCGACACTGGCGACGGGGAGGTCGAGGACCCAGAGGCGTGGTTCGAGCAGGCCACGCCTCAGTACGTGGAGGCCTCCTCGCTGCTGCGGGCCCCTGCTACTGGTGGCGTGGCCGGGGAGTTCGGGTTCGTCTCGCTGAAGGACAGCGTCGACTCGGACTACGAGGTCACGGTGGCTGCGCTGCGGGTGCGGGCCGACGAGCTCTCGACCGTGGCGGTGGTGCCGTCAGGGCGGCTCGACACAGCCTACGAGGCGATGAAGCTGCCGGCCTGGGATCGCGTCGGCACGCCCCTGGACGGCCAGCTTCTCTCGGCCGAGATCATGGAGACCCCGAGCACCCTGGTGCGGCGCTTCGCTTCGGCGCCCCCTGCCGACGGCCAGGTCTACGCCTTCCACGACGACGGCTGGTGGGCCGAGCCCGAGGCTGCCGTGGGCGCTATCCCCGCCGAGATGCTAGCTACCCTGGACTCCCTGCAAGGCGCGGGCGAGCCCGAGCTGGGGGTGCCGAGCGGCCTGCCCCCACTGGGGTCCCTGCCGCCCGGCTTCGGACCGCCGCTCCGTCCCCCTCTGGTCCCCGGGCCGCAGCCAGCGGCCGGTGCGGCTGGGTTCGCCGCGTGGTTCTCCGGGGAGGCCTCCCCGCTCGCCCCAGCCGCCACAACGCCGTCGGACGAGCTCGTGGAGCGTCAGCGGGCCGACGCGCTCGAGGAGGTGAGGAGGCTGGCTGCTGAGGTGGAGGAGCTGAAGCGGCAACGCGAGGCTCTGCAGGTGGAGAGGGCGGGCCCCGCTCAGCCGAAGCCTGCCGCTCGCGAGGCCCCCGCTCGGAAGGCCGCGCCGCAGCAGCAGCAGCAGCAGCAGCAGCAGCAGCAGCAGCAGCAGCAGCAGCAGAAGCAGCAGCAGCAGCAGCAGCATGTCTTGGAGCAGATCCTCGCTGGCCAGAGCGCGCTCCTGGAGAGGGTCTCAGCCCTGGAGGCCAGCGGGGCCCCGCCTCGGAAGGCGGTGCTCCGCCCGACGCCCGCCTGCAGCAGGCGGCCGGCCAGCAGCCTGGCGCAGCCCCTCGCTGGGGCCTCCTCGGCCCACCTCCCCCGGGCGGGCCCCTGTCCGCGGCTCGCGGAGGCGGAGTGCTGACCCCCCTGGGCCTGCCGGCCGCCCGCGCCGTGGCCGCGGCCGCTGGGCCACCTCTGCCTCGCAGGGGCGGATCGGCGAACTCTTTCTTGCAGAGGCCTCCCTCGGGCCCGACTGCAGCGGGCGTCGCGGGGGCCCCCTCGGTGGCGGGCCTTCCGCCCCGGCGCCCCAGCGCCCGCGCGGCCCGGCCCCTGTGCCAACGGGCCCGGCCGGGGGGCCCCAGCTCCCAGGCGCCCCCGCGGGCCCCGGCGGCCGCGAGGAGCAGTTGCTGGCTCTGCTGTCCCAGCAGACGTCACTGCTGGGGGCCCTGGTGCAGAGCAGTGGGCGCCAGCCAGACGCGCTGCCGCTCCTGGCGGACGTCGGGCGCGACGGCGGGCTTGGCGAGAGCGCTGGCATGAGGCTTGGCGGCGCGCGCGGTGCCGCCGTGCTCGAGCTGTTCCGCCGCCGGGTCCAGGGCAACCCCCGGGCCGTCTCCGCCATGGTGCGGCGGAACTCCCAGCTCAACATGACGGGGGCTGCGAGCGAGTAGGGCATGAGCGACTCCGCGCGCAACTACTTCGCTCGGAACGTCCCGTTCGGGCAGGCGAGGTCGTCGGCGTTCCTGGTCTTCGGCATGGCGGAGGTGTTCGATCTGATGGGGCGCGGCGCGTGGCACGCCACCGAAGCGCAGTTGGCGCTCCTCCTCTGTGCGTCGGAGCAGGCGGCCCCACGGGAGTGGCGCTGGGCGTCGGCCTGGCTGCTGACACACCTCCCCGAGCCGCCCTAGACCTCGATTCGCTAGGCGCCGGCGCGCGGGCAGATCCGCCCCATGTCCCGCCTGGCCTCGCCCGAGTGGGTCGCGGCAGCGATCGGCGACGCGAAGGACACCCTGGCCCTCGAGGGCGCGGAGTGGAAGCTGGCGCCGGCTTCAGCACCGAAGTCCGAGGAGAGCGGAGGCAAATGCGGGGGCTCGAAGCGCCATGGCAAGGCCGGCGGCGCGCCCCCCCACGAGTGGGAGCGGGGCTCCCCCGGCCAGGCGGCCCGGGAGCTCTGCGCAAGGCGGCCCTAGCCCTCCTGCCGCGTGGGCGCGCGGGGGGCCGCGGGGGGCTGGTGGGCGGCGACAATTCGATGGGCGTGGGCGTTCGCTGGGGTTTTGGTCTGATCCGCCGCCTTCGCGGGCTCCGCGCGGTCTTCGGCGCCTTCGTCCGCTCCTCCATGCGCGCCGCTGGGTCTCAGGAGCTTGCGACTCCTGCTGCCGGTCTGCTGCCCTGCCCCCCGCCCTTCGGGTGGGCTGCTGGCGCCCCCCCGCGGGGCGTGCGTGCCCGCAGGAGATGGCTTCGCACCCATGTCGAGCGCGTGTGGGTCAACGCCGTCGTTCTCGCGCTCTCCCACCTGCGCCCGGGCGAGACGCGGAGCAGCGCGCGCGCGGGGCCGCGCGCCTGCGCTGGGAGGCCTCTCGGCCCATCTCAGACCGAGATGGTGTCCAGGCTGAGGAGGCTCGTGCGACCGATGTGCCGGCCCCTGCAATGGCAAGGTGGCCGCGTGGAGAAGGCTGAGGCTCTCCTCGACTATCTCCCGAATGCGATGCACTCCCCCCCTGGGCACCGTGGCGCCTTCTCCCGACTGGGCCGACGACCTCCAGGGCTTCTACCGGCCTTCGACTGCACCTACGAGATGGCTCGCGCCAACGATGTGCCCCCCCCCCCCCCCCTCCTCCCGTCGAGGCTCTACGAGGGCTTCGCGGCGCTGGGCAGGTTGCGGAGGCGTTGCCGCCGCGAGGGCCGCGAGCTCCCAGAGAAGGTTGTCCCCTGCCGCGGCGGCCTGATCCTGGGCGTGCGAGTCCCGCGTGCAGCTGCTCGCCCAAGCTGGCAGATCCCCCCCGGGGCGGCGGGCGCTCAACCGCCACCTCGCCCCCGAGGGAGCTGCCTGGGAGGGCGTCGTGCTGGGCGACCACTTCGGCCTGGCCGTCGACGCTCCTAGCTCGCGGGCATCTCGGCGCGCGATCGAGGAGTCCTCCGCCCGCGTGCGCGAGGGCTATGCTGACGCCGGCCTCGAGGTCAGCGCGGGCAAGGAGGTGACGGGCGCAGCGGAGGCGACGGTCATCGGGGCGGAGATCCTCGGCCACGACTGGCTCGTCGGCGCCTTCCGCGCTCGCAGGCTGGCGTTGGCCTGGATGGGCCTTTCCCTGGCTCGAGGCCGGCGCTCCACCGCGCTGGGCCTGCAGAGGTTCCTCGGCATGGGCCTCTTCGCCGCTCTGCTCCGGAGGCCCACCCTGTCGCTCCTCCACCACTGCTGCGAGGAGGTCGACGCTGGTCGCGACCCGCGCGAGGTGTTCGAGCTGAGCGGCGCTGCC